CTGAATCAGGGGCCTGTGGTGGTTTGCAGGCTGGCCATGGCCCTGGCGACCCAAGCGGAGGCCCTGGTATCTGGGATTTATTTACCTTCTACAATTGAAACTTTGTAGCCTGGAGCAGAGACAAGCCTCCTGCTTGCTCTGTGGCTGCCACCATTTTTATATGAGTTTGTTTACCTTCTATAATTGAAACTTTGTAGCCTTGAGTGGTGGCTTAGGCTGGCAAGGGCAGGCGGAAAGCTTGGCTTCTTCCATTGCCTGGGAAACCCAAGCCTCCTTACTGCTCTCTGTGGCCATAGCCATCTTGGTTGGGTTTATTTGCATCCTCACTCTGATGGGCTGGTGGGTGTGGCTGGTGGGCATGGCTGGTGAGTGTAGCAGAATGATGGTTAATTTGCAGATTATTCTTTTATTAGGTAGGATTAGCTGCAGTGTCTGCCATCCAACCAACAACCCATCTGCATGAACCTCAATGGGGAAACCAAGTTGGTCTCTGACCATTTGTAGGTGGACATCTTCCTTTTTTGGGCCCACACAGCACCTGATCATTGTTTTATAAGGGAAAAAAGTATGGTTTTCTGCCAGTACAAAATGCCAGCTTACTTATTATAAATCTGCTTCCACCCTCATGCCCAATCATAATACCAATTTCAATGCTGCATCAAACTGTAATTTTTCTGAGACATAAAAATTAGGAACTCAAATTTAAGCTAAAATTTTACTAGTAGTGTATAGTAATATAGCACAAATAACTAAGAAAACAAGGAGATGATGAGATGCCCTCTATTGGTGAGCGGCACAGAGTGCAGGCATTAATAACCACATCACCACATACTCTTCCATGGAGGGGCAGACAAGGTGCTTATGATATCAACTATTGAAATGGTAACAGTATACGTCTTAGAATGGAGGGAATAGAGAATGAAAGATTAAAGACTGAGTAGAAAGAAATAAATAACTGCAGATGTAGAGGAATTCAAAGAATAGAAAAAGATAGAAAAGTTGTGTGTTTTTTTTAATTTAAATTATGCCACACAAGGCTGATGAAGATGTCTGGTATACTCACTCACTGCTAGATGACTTTAGAAAGCAATTTGTTATTTACACACATACACATACATATACATATATATTCTAAGCCATATTATTAATGCCTACTAAAATAAGAATGGCTAGCTCTGGCTGGAGTGGCTCAGTTGGAGCATAGTCCCATGCACCAAAACGTCACTAGTTCAATTCCAAGTCAGGGCATATACCCAGGTTGTGGGTTCAATCCCTGGTCACAGTGCCCCAATCAGGGTGTGTACAGGAGGCAACTGATCAATGTTTCTCTCTCATATCAGTGTTTCCCTTTCTCTCTTTTCCTCTCCTTTCCTCTCTCTTTAAAATAAACAGAATATGCCCACTGGAAGCACCTACTGATAGAGTAGATATTCCAAGTGTAATTCATTCTCAGTCATTAGAGAAAGCTAATGAGATTTCAAACTGCAGCAAATTGTAAACCTAATTCATATGGCCTTTCCTCATTTATTTTAACAGTTATGACTGAATTTCTTTATAAAGGTTAAGTACTGTAAACTACACTAAGAAGGAATATCTTCTATCATATTCACAGAAGTGCTCAATTTTAATTCTGTAAATCTTAATTCAATAAGCTCATATCTAATCTTGGAGTAATTAAGTCAAGTTTGCACGTCTCATACTAGGCAGCACACTCTAAACATCTGCAATCTAGACCTCCTCATTTGGGGATTCATGAATGACTGAAGAGACCCAACCCTGAAAGCATTTATTAAAATTGCCTCCTGAATAAAATCAGGTGAAAGTTTGGAAGCAAAAACAAGAACATACTTGCAAAGCACTTTCCATTCCACTTTATATTCAAGTAACATGCTAATTATAAAAAACTTATTATTAAAAACCAATACTATTTAATTTTAAAGTACTGAAAATGGTTTCTTTTCATCATATCCTATAATTTCTGATCGCTTTTAATTCACATGGATAGAACAGTCTCTTTTTATGCTTCACAACAAGAACTCTTCATCTTTCTGGTCTCAGGACCCCTTTCCCACTCTTAAATTTTACTGAGGATCTTAAAGAGCTTGTTTCTATAGGTTACATTTATCTATATTTTCTGTATTGGAAATTTAAACTGAATTCTTTAAAAAAAAAGTATTACCTAATTAAACAAAAACAATAATCTCATTACATGTTAATATACATTAAAAAACAACAACTAGGCATAGGTATAGTTAAAACATACCTATAGTTAGTGAAAAGGTAGTGTTGTTTTATATTTTGCAAATCCACTAATGTGTAAATGAATAGAAAATACCTATGTTCTCATACTTCCTTCTACATTCAATTTGTCATGACATGCTGCTTTGGCTGAGGGACATGAAGATACTCCAAGCTTACCTAAATATGTAATTGGAAGAGGTCAGACTATTTTAATAAGCTCGTCAGATAACTGTGGTCATTTTTCTTTACTACAACTAAACTGTTCAGGTGATAGTTTCTTAAAGTTTAGCTGTAGCGCAGAATCTGGAAGTGTGTCAATAAACTTACATACTCCGCTACATTAAAATCCATTGGTTTATCTTGCACAGTATCAAAAAATCGCATTAGTTAATCTGACTATGGACCTCATCAAAAAGTCTTTTAAGTACTAGGAAGCTGTCAAGTTCACTGAGGTAGATACAAGTTTTCCAAAATTCTTATTTTTACTTGGAAGTTCAAATTTTGTCTTTTGTAGCATTTGTTGTCAGCTGTTTTTCCTGATGCGGCAGGCAGGCTCTGGCATTCGTTTTCAATGTGCACTCTAAGTTCCAGATGGGTAAGTGTCATGAAGAACATTCTTGGTGTGACTGGTTCTTTTATGTTTTTAAAACTGTGTGTGCATACATACCCTCATTGCTTCTGAGCCACCAGAGTGTGCATATTAGCAGTGTGCAAAATGTGTCATAATGAAAATAGTTTCGACCTTGTCAACCCACTAAAAGCATACTGAAGTACCCCCTGTGGGGTCCCACAGGCCACACTTAAAAAACTTCTGTGTTATGATTCAGTGACCCTCCAATCATCACTAAGTGTCAGCCACCAATTTAAAAAGGAGTAATCACCATTATTGCTTGTCCATGTTATTCATATGTATTATCCATCCTAAGAACGTTAATATCAGTAGAAGGCTATTTCTATAATTCAAATTTAATATGAAAGCATGAAAAACAAGAGCTAGTTACCATGCAAAGATAACAGAAGCTAAACAAACTAAATATAATATGCAAACTTCCCTCCAAGGAATTTAAAACATAAAGTTTTCCTTAATTGTCTCCCCATTTGTTGGGCTTTTTTTTGTGTGTGTTGGGCACTTGTAAGTCCTCCTCAGGTGGACTCTCTGGTCAGGATCCAGGGCGTGAAGCAGTCAGAGAAAAGAGCAGAGGCACTAATGTCAAACTTAACAATTTCAAGACCCAAGTCCCCACCCTGCAAGTAGCCTGTCCTTCCTAATCTCTGAGTCTTTGTCTGAGTTGAATACAAAGCAAATTCCACTAAACACCATGAGGACTGGAGAAGATGCATGTAGAGCATTAGCGAGGCCCACAGCAGGTATTCAATAAATGGTCGCCATTGTTGTGAATAAGCTCCCCCAGAGGCAGCCAGGGGTCCCGTGAGGAGTGGGACACACATCCACATAATTATGACACAGCATGGGAACGGATTAACCACAACATGCGGTGGGAGTAAAAGGAAAATCAATGGTCTGCTTAAGTGAGGCCGGTGCTATAATAAATGAGCTGCCATCCCAAAGGGAAAGGGAGCTGGCCCCATGGAGGAGGAGGAGAAGGGAAATGTACAACAGATGCACACGGAGGCTGGGCACAGGACAAAGCAAGGAAAACGCTCCGGATCCAGCTCACGTAGAGACGCTGATGCCATGATAAGGAGCACACACATTTGGAGCTGTTCTCTTCCTAAAGACTGAGGTCTTAGTGCTGGCAGGTCATCTGGTCTCCTATTGTCTCCTGACCCCCAGTACACACACATTATACTCATGCTGCTTTCAGGTCTCTGACCTGTCAGCAGTGCCCTGGCCCCTGCTTGACCAGTGGAAAAGGAAAGAGCAAAGCTTCTCCTAGAGGCTGTGGGACATCAGGGAGCCCAGCAGCTGGTGGAATCTGCACTTAATGTTTTAAAGCACAAATGAGGCACATACTGGGCAAAGCCATTTTATACACTGAGTGGCCAAATTATTATGATCTCTGAACGCATCATAATCTGGCCACTCAGTGTGTGTGTGTGTGTGTGTGTGTGTGTGTGTGTGTGTGTGTATGCGCGTGCGCACATGCACACGTATTTTAGAGGCCCAGTGCATGAATTCGTACATGAGTAGGGTCTGGCCAGCCTGGCCAAGGGGAGGGGACATGGGCAGTTGGCCAGGCTGCCTGCTGGTCGAACTCCTGGTCGAGGGGACAATTTGCATATTAGCCTTTTATTATATAGGATATACACTGATTGGCCAGATTATTAGCGTTCAGAAATCATAATAATCTGGCCACTCAATGTATTCTTTCAGGCACTTCTAAGATCTTAAAGCCCATGCAAGTGTATCTTCATTCCAGCCCCAACCATGCCCCAGGTCCTATGTGACAGTGGAATTTACAGGTTGCTTTACTTAATGGAGTAAGAAGAAAGAGAAAGAGGGTCTAGTGGCCCATGTTTTCCATTCTGATTCCACCCATCGGGGAAGCCTCTTGTCATTGCATGAGTGGGCCCTGAAGCCCAAAGAGGCCACCTGCCTCTTGCTTTTTGGCAGAAACAGCAGGGCACAAGCCCAGCATGAAGGTGGCACACAGATGTGAGCCACTACCCACGGCAACCCTGCAGGTGCAGTGAGCATGCATCAGAGTGCATCCACAGCCAGCTGTGCTACTCCACACTCACCCGGGACTTGACCATTGAGACAAAAGCCACCGACATCACTGCAAGGTCTTACTCACCCAGAATTTTACGAGGAAGAAGGCATTTTGAGGGCCCTTTCCAAACAGTTCCTTTAAGCCACCTTTCTTTTCAGGAAATTTGTCATAAATCTGACGAATGTCCACTGATTCGAGCAACGGGTCACTGTAAGAATGGTTGGCATGCCCAATGTGCACGAAGAGGTGTTTGTTGTACTGCAAGAAACCAACAGAGACATTCCCATTACAAACCCTTTAAACAACCTAGGACACATGCATCTTGAACTGGATAAAGAGTAAGTAGTCTTAAAATCCTGGAATTATGCCTTGATTAGCTGAGGTCCATACCTTTGAAAAGATGAAGATGTTAGAAAAGTCCTTATAACTTAAGGCAAAAACAATCATTTTTAAAAAATTAAAGTTGACATACAATAATATATTAATTTCAGGTATACAACATAGTGAAACAGTCAGTGTCTTTTATTGATAAGAGTATATATTTTTTCTATGCCTAAAAAGGCTTTTAGACATAGTAAACAACAGCTTAAATTACACAACTACCAAACCAAAAACAATTCGATTACCCAGTTTCACAAGACTCAGCTGAAAATGACAGTGACACCTTCTGGGGCCTGCTATTAACAGTGTAAACCCAATAAAAGTATGTGTGCAGTTAGCTAACATCATCACCCCAAATGCACTTCTCCCTCAGCTTCCCTAGCAGCAGCATGGATGCAGCCTTCTGAGCTATGGTGCCTACCTACTTCTTCCAGCAGGAACGAGAAGGCTGAGCCTCTTCTCATCAGTCCCCTTAGTAACCAACCTCAAACCTGCCCCAGGTCCCCAGGGCCAGTCAATATGTGGCTATCAGTGCAACATTAGGGTCAGGGGAGAGGATTCATGGCATAAGATTACAAAAGGTTGGTAACAAAAAAATATCAGTTATTCATAGTCACAAAAAAAAAAAAAAAAGAAAAAAAGAAAAAGAAACAAAAACACCAAACCTCTGAGAAGACATTTAACTTACAAAGGAAACCCTTTCTTTGCCTTGCTTTGGTATAAGATAAGGAAACTGGACCACAAAGGAGAATGTCCAAGCCAATGGTTCTCATCCAGGTTGCAGCAGAATTACCCACGAGCAGCATTTAAATATCACCAATGCCTGGGCTCCACCCAGACTAAATTGGAATCCCTGAGAAGGAGACCAGACATCAGTGATTAGGAAAATTCCAATATGCACTAAGTTTGAGAACCTCCGGCCTAGATGCTCTGCTTCAGATCCTCCCTGCCCACCCTTCCTGCTGTACAGGCCATAGACCCATCTAATGGGACACAGACAAAGACATCTGGGGGTGCACGGGTTCCAGGGAGCTCAGAACTTAATAGGGTTCAAAGAGAAAACCTCATGTCTCTATTTGCTTAGCAGACCCTACTCACTTTTTGAGTTTAAACTGGCACTTCTCCAAATAGAGTCTTTCTGAGTACTGATCCCATGGAAGCCCCAAATAAAAGAAGGATTGGCTAGGGCAGCCTACCAAGAGTACTGCAAATCAGCTATGACACCGGGCAAGTGCTTCCCCCTGTCTGAAATGGGGAGAGTGATGGCATCTACTCCATAGGGTGGCTGTAGGATTTAAATGAGACACTGCTTACATAGAGCATACTAGAATGCATAGATCCAACAAAGAGTAAACATTTAATAATGCTGGCTCTAACGATTTTTTAATAGAACCTCCTTTTTTGAGATTCACAGTGAATATTAGCATATTAAAAGCACTGTAGTAAAAAGACACTTTTTAAAAACTTGTATAACCCAAAGTTTTCCAAACTCATTTGATCACAACCCTGTAAAGATATCCTGTGGAAGTGCTGGTTCAAATATGTGACCTGCTGCCCACCCTGCGGATTCTGGCCACAACGCCAAAGGGTGAGAGGCCCAACCCCCTTCCCCCAGTGGTCCACAGTGTTGCATGCCTGACTTATGTGACTTATGGAGAGTGTGGCCAGGGCCTGGCATCTTCTGGGAGAAGGCTAAGCCCCTCTCACATTCAACATCAGAGAGCTATCTTTCTTTTTCTTTTTTAAAATATATTTTATTGATTTTTTACAGAGAGGAAGGGAGAGAGATAGAGAGTTAGAAACATCGATGAGAAAGAGTCATCAATCAGCTGCTTCTTGCACACCCCCCACTGGGGATGTGCCCGCAACCAAGGTACATGCCCTTGACAGGAATTGAACCTGGGACCCTTCAGTCCCCAAGCTGACTCTCTATCCACTGAGCCAAACCCATCTCGGCCAGAGAGCAATCTTAACCAAGGCTTCAAAATGCCTCAAAGGCATCAGCTGACATGAAAAACCAAGTGGAACGTATCAAGCTTTGACGTGGTCCCCACCAGGGGACTCTCCGGTGGGACCGAGACCTGGAAGCTATTGTGAAAGAACAGAGTGTGCCTGTGCAGGAAGAGAAAGGAAAGAATGTTTACACAAAGTCAAAGCATGGCTGTGTTAGGGAGGTGAGACTATGGGGTGGGGCAAGTGGCTTTGATCTTTCTGTAGGTTTTCTCTAATGCTGTCTGTCACATCATCATTTCAGTTACAAACAAATAAAAAGCCCACAGAAACAGAAACGTATAAAGCACAACTGCTAGGGAGCTTCCAGTCTCATCAGAGGGTAAAAGGAGATGTGCAATGTGCTTTCTACATATATGGTCTCAGGTACTCCTTTCCTCACAATGACACTGTAGGCAGGTTTTGTTAAAGTCATTTTACAGATAAGGAAATAGAAGCTTAGAGATGAACGGACCAGCCTGAGGTCACACATCCAGGATTAGTCCTGGATTTAAGAATAAAACTTGGATCTGTCAACGCCATGGCCCATGCATTTGGTGCAAATACCAACCACGTGGTCTCCCAGAAGAAAATGCCCAGACTCTTCTAATGCAGATCTACTTTGTTTTGAAAGTTGATTTGAGGGGGAAAAAATGAAAGAAGCTAAATAGTGTTTTCAAAATTCTAAGATGTTAAATTAGAATTCGAGAGAAATGTAATGATTCACAGATGCATCAGATAGCGTCTTCAAAGGTTTCTATTTTGAGGAAATTACCTTTGTGCCCAAGTGGCTGAAAGGAACTGAGAAGGGGCAGGCTGTCTTTGCCAAAGGAAATCGGGCACTGACTCTCCAAGGCTGGTGACTTGAAACCAAACCCTGACTGTTGGCATCTGAGCGGCTTTGTTCCTGCCAAGAGGTGACTTTGTTGCTAAGAATACCAAGGACTAAAGAAGGTGTCCTGGAGACCACAACAGTGAGACAAACAGATCTCGCTCTCCCCCTAACTCAACCTGGACAGGTCAGGAGTCCCTGTGCCTCCAAATCCAGAGGCTGGGGGGAAAAAATCTATCTGATAGGTGTGGGTTCAAGTTTTAATGAAATTAGAACTCTACAAACCATTTGCTGAGGCTCCACCTACTACTTCCATCCTGCCAGTTCTCCTTAGAAGGGAAGAAGAGACACTTGCTTCCCTCTCTCCCCCCCCCCTGCCCTCCCATATAAATCCTATTTGCTTTCTAGTAGGACTGGTTACCCAAAACTAAAGGTGGGGCAACTCTCCCCCCTCCAAAAAAAATAATTCTATTTTGTAAGGCAAATAACAAATATTTGAAAACAACAACAAACCAAAAGCCCCAAGTGTTGGGGGTAATATATACACTAAGCACTGTGCTAGGCACGAGGAATCCGTGAGCCAATACTTCAAAGTCCCTCTCTTCACAGACCCTACAGTGACTAGACAGAGCTAGCTCACTGCCTCTATAATCAATCATGTGTTGCCCATGTAAACATGGGTTCTCAAAGATTCCTAGAGAAAAGGTTGAGGTTAAAGGCAATCAACATCCCCACTCTTACACGTCACAGGACCTAAATCAGCATTTATCTGCTTTTTTATATGGATGGCTCTATTCTCCAGCATTAAACACACAGTGTCACTCATTAGCAAAGAGCACCTGTGTGGAACTCACCGTGGAAATGTGAGTTAAGTTTCATATCTTTAAGGCAAAACTTTGATAAAAACCAAGCCATCCATCTCATGTGAGAGTATAACACACTTTCAGATCTGTAAGGTTTCAAAAAATTGATCTTTGTAACCATTCTCGGTTAGCTATAGGAGGATACATTCCTGTGAAGTGGAGTAAATCAGAACAGAGGAAGGTGGGCCCTGACGCAGGAGAGAGGAAGAGGAACTCACTGGCCAACAGCTGGGCTGCTCACCTGGACAGAGACCGGTCTAGTGGGTGAGGAGCTGGAGGGGACATGGAGGAATGTCACCAAGGGGATGTGGACCTGAGAGATTACCTGACTTATGTGACCCTCTGAAGAAGAGTTTGAGAATTCTGTAGACATTGTGAGGATGAATTCATGTAATGTAAAAACTGAACAATTTTTTTAAAAAAAAAGTAGCAATGACAAACCCTAAAATAACAAGCTTTACAATAAAAAATGGTTCGAATACATCACATATTAACCACGCCGTGTACAGAACTGGCACAGGTTTGTAATATAAACACTGAACATTGAACCAAAACTTGTGATATAACCACACTGGTAGGGTTAGAAGTAAGGGGGGAGGGTGTGCCATATGCTAAATTTAGAGAGCGAAGACCTGATCTTCCACAGTAAAAAGTCAACAGAAAATGTCTAAAATTGGTGGACTGAGATATATAGGATAAGCATGTTATTTAGAAATACGCAGATGATATCTGAAGAACTGGCCAAAGGGCTGTCAGCAGCAGTCCTTAAGGAGGAGGGCTGCGAGGTGGGAAGAACTGGGGCAGTGGCTGCTGCGTTTCCTCAGGCCATGAGTGAGGCTCAATTTGGCTTATATATTAAACTGATAAGAACAGATACTACACTTTATCTTAGCCAAAAGGCCGAGAAGCGATCAATTTGGCTTATATATAAAGCATATGTACTAACTATCTTGAAACAATCTAGATTTTTTTGAGGAAGGGGTAGAACTATAAAGGGAAACAAAAACATTACAAGTCGTGCCTCAGGTTGTTTACTCTAGCTGACCACGATTCCCTGGACCTGAAAGGAACTTAGTCAGATCACAGAGCCTTCCTAAGGCTCAACCTCTCAGGACAACCGGCCAGAAGAGGGGACCCATGTCGGCCTGCATGGTTCACCCAAAAGAACGAAGTAGCACCAGCAAAATCCTACC